TGCGTACTCCCCGCTTGCCTTCCTGGCCAAGCCGCTGTCGTGGCTGATAGCGCTCACAAAATTCAAGGGAACGTCAACCGGCGCTCCCAACTTCGCCCTGGCGAGATGCACCCGTGACTGGAACCGCCTTCCAGAGGACCAGAGGCCTCACATTGATTTGTCATCCGTTAAGGAAATCATCATTGGGGCGGAGCCCATCCAGGTGCACGTTCTCCGGGAGTTTGCGGATACCTTTAGGCCCTACGGGCTGGACACTGGCGCACTCAGCCCGTCGTACGGGCTGGCGGAGCACGTGCTCGCGGTGAGCAGCATGTACGACCTGGATTTTGACAACATGTCAGACGAGCGCGGGGTGGTCAATTGCGGCTACCCAGGCAAAGGGGTGGACGTGAAGATCGTGAATCACAGGACGCTGCAGGAGTGCGAGGGGGGCACGGTGGGAGAGGTGTGGGTCACCAGTCGCAGCAAGACCGATGGGTACTGGGCGCTGCCGGACATCTCTAGGGACACGTTCCATGCCCCCCTCAATGGGAAGAAGTATCTCAGGACGGGGGATCTTGGGTACTTGGGCAGGGACGGCGCCCTGTTCATCAACGGGCGGCTCAAGGACGTCATCATCGTCGCGGGCCACAACATCTATCCCCAGGACGTCGAACAGAGCATCTCTGAGGCGTCCGATCAAGTGCGGCCCGGCAGGGTCGTCGTGTTCTCTTTGGCAGATGCCGGCGAAGCGGGAGAGTCGGACGACCATGTCGGAGTGGTGGCCGAGATTCGTGAGGACCACCCGGAGGCGGAGTTCTGCAGAAAGCTGCTGGCCAAGATCGCGATGGTCGTCAGGAAGCAGCACGGGCTGGCGGCGGTCAAGATCGCCATCATACGCCCCCGGACGCTGCCCCGGACGACTTCTGGCAAGGTGCAGCGCCAGGGGTCCAAGCAGGCCCTGGCGGGAGGTACCCTGAAGATTGTGCCCGGGGGGCTTTATTCGATGGGCGACGCGGAGCCGGCTCTGGAACAGAGCGGGACTCCAAAGAGGGAGCCGGGACGCAGTGCGGTGGCCGGGGGAGAGGCGGCCAACTTGCCGCCGGGAGAGCTGGAGGACAGGATACTGCAGGTCATCTGCAGCACTGGAGGGATATCCAGGGAAACGGTGGACGTCAATTGCACCCTCATGGAGCTGGGCGTTGGGTCCATGCAGCTGCTCCGCATCGCGCACGACCTGGAGAAGTTGTGCCCCAGTGTCAGTGTGCTGGTGCTCCTGCAGCCCATGCCCGTCCAGGAGCTGATTCACCAGCTGGCGCACCCGCAGGACGCCGATGCTTCGGCATCATCTGAGGCAATAATTGAGCCAATGCGGGGGGCAGACCTGAACGCTGGGGTCCCCGTGTCCATGGGCCAGGAGCAGATGCTCATCATCGACGGGCTTATGCCCGGCTCCTGCGCCTACAGCGTTCCTGTGGCCTGGTGCATACGGGGACCCCTGGATGCAGCGGTGGTCAAGGAATCGATACTCTTCCTCTTGGAACGGCATGCTGTGCTGTCCATGCGGTTTGAGAACCAGAGCGGCAAATGGGTGCAGATTTGCAGCCAGGCTGCCAAGCTCCAAGTGCAGCAGTTGACGACCCGGCGTTGCTGTGATATTGCGGACGTGCCCAAACACCTGGAGGCAGAAGTGACGGAGCCGTTTGACTTGGAGAATGGCCCTGCCATGAGGGTGACGCTCTTGCACATCAACGAGACCAGCCACGTCATGCTGCTGGTTGCCCACCACGCGGTGCTGGACGGCTGGTCGATGGGCATCATGATGAAGGAGTTCTGCCACGTGTACAATGCAGTCATGAACGGTGGGGACCCATCTCTTCCTGAGCCGCAGATCCAGTATCACGACTTTGCTGTGTGGCAGCGCCAGTGGCTCGCTGAGGGCACCCTTGACGAGAACCTGACTTACTGGAAGGACAAGCTGAGGGGAGCCCCTGCTTTGCTGGAGCTCCCTACCGACAAGCCAAGGGGCCAGTCGATGATGACTGCAACTGCGGGCCACGTTTCCATCCACATTGGCCATGGCCTGTATGAGAAGATACAGAAACTTGCATCAGACTGCCAGGGAACTCTGTTCATGGTACTGCTGGCTGCATTCAAGGTACTTCTGAGCCGCTACAGCCGACAAACAGACATCGTGGTGGGTGCGATGGTTGCTGGCCGTTGGCACCCCCAGCTGATGAACGTGGTGGGCTACGTCACGAACATCGTGCCAGTGAGGTCAGAAATGTCCCAGCAGCTCAGCTTCCAGCAGTTCCTGATGGCAGTGAAGCAGGTCACGCTGGACGCTCTGCAGCACTCACTGGCGCCCGTGCACAAGGTCATCGAGGCAGTGGGGGCTGCCAGGGACGCCTCCCACCACCCTGTGTTTCAGGTCATCTTCAACCTGCAGAACTTGGATTTGGTGACACACGAAGCCACCATCAATGGCTGCACCGTGGAGCAGATACCCGAGTTCAGCCGGCCGCCGCAGAGCCGCTTCGACCTGGCTCTGGAGCTGGGGGAGAGGAACGGTGAGGTGGATGGTACCTTCGAATTTGCCACCGATTTGTTCGAAAAGTCCACTGTGACAAGAATGGCCTCGCATTTTGAAAAGCTGCTGGAGGAGCTTGTGATGCGGCCAGATGAGCCGATGGTCACAACATCGATGCTGGGAGAAGCGGAGCACAGCCGTCTGGTGAACGAGTTGGCCTTTGAGGACTACCACAAGTACAGCATCAAGCATGAGTGCCTGCACGAGCTGTTCCATCAACACGCGGAGGCATCGCCCAAATCCACATGCCTGGTTTTCAGGGGCCAGTCAATGACATATGAAGAGGTGGAGACTGAATCCAACAGGTTGGCCAACCATCTGATCGACCTGGGTGTTCGCCCTGAGACGAATGTCGGCGTCATGGCAGATAAATCGTTCGAGATGGTGATCGGGATACTTGGGGCGTTGAAGTCGGGGGCAGCGTACACACCTGTGGACCCTCAGTACCCGTCGCAGCGCATCTCTGCCATAGCCGAGGATGCCTGCATCAATGTCATGCTTGTCCATACGAAGCACAATGTGGAGAGCACGCTGCAGGCCCTGCACCTGCACGTCATCCACATCAGGTCCGTGCCGGAGCAGCTCACACTGTACCCAAGCCACCAGAGCTTCTCGAAGAACCTGGCCTATACGATTTTCACCTCGGGGTCCACGGGCAGGCCCAAGGGTGTGATGGTGCCCCACCGCGCGGTGGTGAACTTCCTGCAGTGGATGACCATGGAATTCTCTCTAACCAAGGAGGACAGGTACCTGCAGAACATCAATTTCACGTTTGACCTGTCGATGATGGAGATATGGCTGGCATTGACGTCTGGGGCCACACTCATTCTGCCAGACCCCGAGTTTCATCCAGAGCCATCGTACGTTGTGAACCTGATCAAGCAGACAGAGGCGACCTTTTGCTGCTCGGTGCCCTCTCTGTTGCGGGGTTTCGCCGACATGTGCGAGCCAGAGGGCTGCCCGACTCTAAGAGTGCAGATATCCTGTGGGGAGGTCCTTCCCGTTGCAGTCGCTTCCAAGTTCTTGGAGAAACTGCCGCATTGCACGCTGGCCAACACATATGGCCCCACTGAGGCAACCATTCACGTGACAAGTCAGATCGTGACCCCCAACAAGCTGAATGGGCCCCTGTCCATTGGGAGACCGCTGTCTCATGTGGCCATATACATTTTGGATGAGACCATGAAGCCGACTCCTATTGGCGTTCCAGGAGAGCTAATGATCAGTGGTGCCTGCCTTGCGAGGGGGTACATGTGCCGCCCCGAACTCACAGAGGAGAAGTTTCTCAAGAACCCGTTTTGCCCAGAGGGCAACCCAGATTTCAAGAAGATGTACCGCACAGGCGACTTGGCGGCATGGAGTGAGGATGGGACCATTCGGATTCTCGGACGTGTGGATCACCAGGCACGGGGTTGAATGCGTCAGTGCAGTGTTTGTCAGTGAACAGCATCTGCAGTTTGCTGCGGTAGCTTGCACATTAGCCAGCCAAATATTGAGAGCGTTTGTGAGGTTTGTGCCATGGCGCAAAGGCAGGTCTTCCACCAGACATGGGAAGCCAATCCAGTGATATTGAACTGAATATTAAAGAAGTAAAGAACGTATTGCACAATTAGATTCCTTCTGTTCATGTGCTGCTTCCTAATTCAGGAGTTTGGATTTTAAGTTATTGAATTTTGATTTGCGAATTTGTGTTCAGGAAGAGCTTCTACATTTGTGAAAAGCAATGTATGTCAAATGTGTACACCATGCCCAGCATGTTTCATCTTGTACGCCTGCTGGAAACCACAATAGATGTTGCAACATGCGATTATGTTCTTGACACCGATGCTCGTTCGCATTCAGCAGTGCAACTTGTTCCAACATCAGTCACATTGCTGGTCCACAAGGCAAGAACTGGTACAAGGAGAACGTGTTGTGTTGTGCTGAAAACATTCGCTACACTACGCTGTCCTGTTCCATATGCAGGTCAAGGTTCGAGGATTTCGAATAGAGCTGGAGGAGGTCGAGTCAGCACTGAGCGCTCTGTCAACAATCAGTCAGGCAGCTACCTCAATTGCACACGATCCCCATGGCGATCCTCATTTGGTGGCATATGTTGCTCCTGAAAATCAGATTGTTGAAAGGGTGAAGGAACAACTGGGGCAGGTGCTTCCATACTATATGGTGCCTTCCATGATCATTACGTTGGAGAAAATTCCATTGCTGACAAGTGGAAAGGTGGATCGAAAATCGCTCCCACATCCTGTGTGGACTTCCGACAGTGAGGTCGTGGCCCCGAGAACAGACCTGGAGTACAGGATTCATGAGATATGGGCAGATGTGCTTGGCGTGGAAGACATAAGCATTCACACAGACTTCTTTGAGCTTGGTGGCGATTCGCTCAAGGCAGGGTTGATCACTGCCAAGCTGCGGCAGGCGTTTGGTGTTGAAGTGCCTGGACTTGTTGTCTTCAAGTTCAAGACAATTGCCACGCTTTCTGAGGCGGTTGAACAGGTTGCGAGCGATGGAGGCACGCTGGCTGCCCTGCAGCGCCTTGGTGTGACAGATGCATCGGGCATTGTGCTTCCAAAGCACCTCTCCAGCATCTCATCATCTGCTGAAGACGTAGATCCCAGTACGGGTGTTCCAATGTCGTATGGACAAGAGCAGATGCTGACCATACAGAAGCTGATGCCCCAGACGACGGCCTACTCCCTTCCTGTGTCTCTGTACATCAAGGGTCCGCTGGATCTGCAGGTTCTCAAACAGGCATTTGTCATGCTGACAAAGCGGCATCAGGTGCTGGGTATGAAATTTGCCAGTAAGGACGGGCATACTGTGATGATCACAGATGCGCACAAACAGCCTGATCTGCATGTGCTGGACACGTGTGCTGGCAGTGTGGCAATGAGCGAAGGGGCAGCAGTCGCAGATAGCACTGCATCTGAGCACTTGCAGCATCTGGCATCCATTCCATTCGACCTTGAGGCTGGGCCGGCAATCAGGGCAGCACTGCTTCCGCTGGCAAATGATGAACATGTGCTGATGATCATGGCACATCATGCCGCACTGGATGGCTGGTCGACAGGGATTCTCATGAGGGAGTTCTGCATTGCATACAACGCCACCGTTGCCAGTGAGACCCCAGACTTGGAACCTCTCCCCATCCAGTACCACCACTTTGCTGCATGGCAGCGGCGCTGGCTGGGCGAGGGCGCCCTTGAGGAGCACCTGAAGTACTGGAAGAGCAATCTGGGAGGCGCGCCAGCCCTGTTGGAGATTCCGACTGACAAGCCACGTGGGCGGGCCATCACAACCGCGGCCGCTGGGCATGTGGATGTTGAGTTTCCTGCTGCTGTGGTTCAGCAGATGAAGAAGCTGGCTTCAGAGTGTCACGCCACACTGTTCCAAGTACTGTTGGCTGCGTTCGATGTGCTTTTGACCCGCTACAGTCGCCAGACAGATATCGTGGTGGGAACAATCGTGGCTGGTCGCTGGCACCCTGAGCTTGTTAATCTCGTTGGGTATGTTGCTAACCCTGTCCCAATTCGCGTTGAGTTCCCAGAGCAGCCAACTTTCAGGGGTTTGATGGGGCTGGTTAAGAGAGCTGCCTTGAGTGCCTTCGATCATTCGGTTGTGCCCATTCAGAAGGTGATAGAAGCGGTTGGTGCCACAAGGGACGCCTCACACCACCCAGTCTTCCAGGTCATTTTCAATCTCCAGAACTTGGATCTGCTTTCCCAACAGGCGAACATCACTGGGTGTGAAGTGCAGCCCATTCCACAGTTCTGCCGGCCTCCACAGAGCCGATTCGACTTGGCACTGGAACTCGCAGAAACAGAGGGCGTCGTGAAGGGCACATTCGAGTTCTCAACGGATCTGTTTGAGCTCAGCACGGTGGCTCGCATGGCTTCTCATCTCAGAAAACTGGTGGAGGGGTTGTTGTCAAGCCCTGATGAACCTCTGGGGGCGATTTCGATGTTGACAAGCACTGAACACGACCTCCTGGTGAGAGAGCTTCCGACTGAACACTGTCACAAATACGATGTGGGACGCGAGTGCTTGCATGAGATGTTCCACCACCATGCAGAGGCGTCTCCCAAGTCAGCATGCCTGGTTTTTGGAGATGAGACCATGACATATGAGGAAGTGGAGATGGAGTCAAACAGGGTAGCCCAACACTTGATTGATCTGGGTGTCTATGCAGACAGTAATGTGGGCATCATGGCAGACAAGTCGTTGGAGATGGTTATTGGAATCCTTGGAATTCTCAAGTCAGGGGCCGCATACACTCCGGTGGATCCAAAGTATCCACCCCAGCGGACAGCGGCCATCGTGGAAGATGCACGGATACAAATCATGCTGGTGCACACCCGGCAGGATGTGGAGAGCACATTGGAAGGACTGCCCGTGCAGGTTGTGCAAGTGGGCTGCGTCCCAGAACAGTTGTCACTGTACCCTAGTGGCCGATGCTTCTCAGGCAACTTGGCCTACACGATTTTCACCTCAGGCTCCACAGGCAGACCCAAGGGTGTGATGGTGCCTCACCGAGCAGTGGTGAACTTCTTGCAGTGGATGATGGAGGAGTTCTCTTTGAGCAAGGATGATAGATACCTGCAGAACATCCACTTCACCTTCGACCTGTCGATGATGGAAATATGGCTGGCCCTGACATCTGGGGCCACCCTGATTCTGCCCGACCCCGAGTTCCACCCTGAGCCATCTTATGTGGTGGATCTCATCAAGCGGACAGGAGCCACGTTCTGCTGTTCTGTGCCCTCCCTGTTGCGTGGTTTTGCCGACATTTGTGAACCCCAGGCCTGCCCAAGTCTGAGAGTGCAAATCTCCTGCGGTGAGGTGCTTCCCGTCCCAGTTGCAGCCAAGTTCCTGGAGAAGCTGCCTCACTGCACACTGGCCAACACATACGGCCCCACGGAGGCCACCATTCATGTGACAAGCCAAACCGTGACCACTGCAGAGCTGAATGGGCCACTGTCCATTGGCAGGCCACTGTCTCACGTGGCCATCTACATTCTGGACGAGGGACTGCAGCCAGTCCCGATCGGTGTTCCAGGGGAACTGATGATCAGCGGAGCTTGCCTGGCCAGGGGATACATCGGCCGCCCAGAATTGACAGGAGAGAAGTTTCTGAAGAATCCATTCTGTCCAAAGGGGAGTGCAGATTTCCAGAAGATGTACAGGACAGGCGATTTGGCTTGCTGGAGTGAGGATGGCAGGCTCCATATCCTTGGACGTGTAGACCACCAGGTATGCATTGGCGACTGTGAGCCCTACAATCTTTGGTGACTATCTGTTCTTGTATTGGTTGTGTTGTTCAGTTTGCTTGCATCCATTTGTGTTTGCTATCCTTCAGCTCAGCTTTGTTCACTTCCAAAATTCCTGCTTGATGCTTCATGTCACGAAGGAAGATGCGTTGGTGCACAGAGGCATTCTGTGTACTTGCGCAAAGCACAACAGCGCAGCGCAAACAGGGAAATTCTGGATGCCCCCCAGATAAAGAGGACATCTACCTGTGGGACAGCCTTTTCCACTGTTTTGCAGCTGTGTGGACCTTGTGCAAGTTACGACAGCTTCCGATGTCTAAGAGATGTGGCCATGGCTTTGTGTTTGTTAAAGGTTAAGATACGTGGTTTCCGGATAGAGCTGGAGGAGGTGGAATCAGCCCTCATCACACTGCCAACAGTCAGCCAGGCGACTGCCTCCATTGCCAACGATCCCCGTTGGGATCCCCATTTGGTGGCATATGTGACTCCTGAAGATCAGGCCATCGAGAGGTTGAAAGAGCAAGTTGGCCAGGTGCTTCCCTATTACATGGTACCATCGATTGTCATCGCCATGGAGAGAATGCCTTTGCTGCCCAGCGGAAAGGTCAACCGGAAAGCACTCCCCCAGCCAGTGTGGACCTCCACAAGCGAGGTTGTGCTGCCCAGAAATGACCTGGAGCAGAGGGTTCATGAGATATGGTCCAGTGTGCTTGGCGTGGAGGACATCAGCATCCACACAGACTTTTTTGACCTGGGTGGAGACTCTCTCAAGGCAGGGCTCATCACTGCCAAGCTGCGGCAGGCATTCGGCGTTGAGGTCCCTGGACTTGTGGTGTTCAAGTACAAGACGATTGCCACACTTTGTGAGGCGGTGGAGCAGGTTGCTGGAGACGGTGGCACATTGGCTGCCCTCAAGACCCTCAGTGTCACAGATGCATCTGGTGTTGTGCTTCCAAAGCACTTGTCTAGCATTTCGTCTTCTTCAGAAGATGCAAATATCGAATCGGGCGTGGTTATGTCGTATGGGCAAGAGCAGATGTTTACCATACAGAAGCTGATGCCCCAGACAACAGCCTACTCTCTTCCAGTGTCTCTGTACATCAGCGGCCATTTGGAGCTGCAGGCGCTGAAGCAGGCGTTCGGGATTCTGACAGCGCGGCATCAGGTGCTGGGTGTGAAATTTGCCAGCAAGGGCGAGCAGACCATGATGATCAGGGACCCGCACCAGCAACCTGATCTGCAAGTGCTGGAGATGAGCAGCGGCAGCATTGCAGTAAGGGATGGGTCGATGGTGGTGGACAGCACCGCATCTGAGCGCTTGCAGCATCTGGCATCCATTCCATTCGACCTCGAGGCTGGGCCGGCAATCAGGGCAGCAGTGCTTCCACTGGCGACAGATGAACATGTGCTGATGATCATGGCACATCATGCCGCGCTGGATGGCTGGTCGACAGGGATTCTCATGAGGGAGTTCTGCATTGCATACAATGGCACCATTGCCAGTGAGACCCCAGACTTGGAACCTCTCCCCATCCAGTACCACCACTTTGCTGCATGGCAGCGGCGCTGGCTGGGCGAGGGCGCCCTTGAGGAGCACCTGAAGTACTGGAAGAACAATCTTGTAGGCGCGCCAGCCCTGTTGGAGATTCCAACTGACAAGCCACGTGGACGGGCCATCACAACTGCGGCCGCTGGGCATGTGGATGTTGAGTTTCCTGCTGCTGTGGTTCAGCAGATGAAGAAGCTGGCTTCCGAGTGTCACGCCACACTGTTCCAAGTGCTGTTGGCTGCGTTCGATGTGCTTTTGAGCCGCTACAGTCGCCAGACAGACATCGTGGTGGGAACAATCGTGGCTGGTCGCTGGCACCCTGAGCTCGTCAATCTCGTTGGTTACGTTGCTAACCCTGTGCCAATTCGCGTGGAGTTCCCAGAGCAGCTGACCTTCAAGGATTTGATGGGGTTGGTGAAGACAGCTGCCATGAATGCCTTTGATCATTCAGTTGTGCCCATTCAGAAGGTGATAGAAGCAGTGGGTGCCGCAAGGGACGCCTCTCACCACCCACTGTTCCAGGTCATTTTCAATCTCCAGAATTTGGATCTCCTTTCTCAGGAGGCAAACATGACTGGGTGTGAAGTGCATCCAATACCAGAATTTTGTCGGCCTCTGGAGAGCCGATTCGACTTGGCCCTGGAACTCGCCGAAACGCAGGGCGCCGTGAAAGGCACCTTCGAATTCTCCACAGATTTGTTTAATTCCGCAACTGTTGCTCGCATGGCTTCGCATTTCAGAAAGTTGGTTGAGGGGCTGGTGTCACATCCTGATGAGCTTCTGGGGAAGATCCCGATGCTAGATGCCAGAGAGCATGACCGCCTGGTGGGGGAATATGCTGTTGAGGACTGTCACAAGTATGCTGTGGGCCATGAGTGCTTGCATGAGATGTTCCATCGCCAAGCTGAGGAGTCTCCCAAATCAACATGTGTGCTCTTCAAAGATCAGTCCATGACATACGAGGAGGTGGAGATGGAGTCAAACAGACTGGCCCATCACCTGATTGACTTGGGCGTCTGTGCAGATAGTAATGTGGGCATCATGGCAGACAAGTCGTTGGAGATGGTTATTGGAATTCTTGGAATTCTCAAGTCAGGGGCCGCATACACTCCGGTGGATCCAAAGTATCCACCCCAGCGGACAGCAGCCATCGTGGAAGATGCACGGATACAAATCATGTTGGTGCACACCCGGCAGGATGTGGAGAGCACGTTGGAAGGACTGCCCGTGCAGGTTGTGCAAGTGGGCTGCGTCCCAGAACAGTTGTCACTGTACCCTAGTGGCCGATGCTTCTCAGGCAACTTGGCCTACACGATTTTCACCTCGGGCTCCACAGGCAGACCCAAGGGTGTGATGGTGCCTCACCGAGCAGTGGTGAACTTCTTGCAGTGGATGATGGAGGAGTTCTCTTTGAGCAAGGATGATAGATACCTGCAGAACATCCACTTCACCTTCGACCTGTCGATGATGGAAATATGGCTGGCCCTGACATCTGGGGCCACCCTGATTCTGCCCGACCCCGAGTTCCACCCTGAGCCATCTTATGTGGTGGATCTCATCAAGCGGACAGGAGCCACGTTCTGCTGTTCTGTGCCCTCCCTGTTGCGTGGTTTTGCCGACATTTGTGAACCCCAGGCCTGCCCAAGTCTGAGAGTGCAAATCTCCTGCGGTGAGGTGCTTCCCGTTCCAGTTGCAGCCAAGTTCCTGGAGAAGCTGCCTCACTGCACACTGGCCAACACATACGGCCCCACTGAGGCCACCATTCATGTGACAAGCCAAACCGTGTCCACTGCAGAGCTGAATGGGCCACTGTCCATTGGCAGGCCACTGTCTCACGTGGCCATCTACATTCTGGACGAGGGACTGCAGCCGGTCCCGATCGGTGTTCCAGGGGAACTGATGATCAGCGGAGCTTGCCTGGCCAGGGGATACATTGGTCGCCCAGAACTCACAGAAGAAAAGTTCTTGAAGAATCCGTTTTCTTCCCCAGGCCATGCTGACTATGAGAAGATGTATCGCACGGGTGACCTGGCAGCCTGGAGCGAAGATGGCTGCTTACAAATTCTGGGTCGGGTGGATCACCAGGTACGTGATATTCGAAGGATGTGGTCGATGGTATGGTCATATGCAAATTTTCGTTTATGCCAGTTTGCATTGCTAAGGGCAAATTGCTTTTCTGCATTGGAGAGACAGACAGGTGATTTTGCAGCTTTCATTCTGCATTTGTGTCGTCTAATGTCATCGTCAGCAGTCCACTTTTGACAGGAAGACTATGTACTCTGCTTCGTGTGCGAGGACGCTTTCTTTTGCTGCTGTGCAGAATGGCTTGCTGATCACTTTATGTTGCTGTAGGTCAAGGTGCGGGGCTTCCGCATAGAGTTGGAGGAGGTAGAATCTGCGCTGGCTGCTGTGCCTGGCGTATCCCAGGCCACAGTCGTGTTGAAGCACGATCCCTCTGGCGACGCGCACCTGGTCGCATACGTTGCGCCAGAAGGGCTGGCGGCTGACTTCCTCAAGGGCCAAATGAGTCAAGTGCTGCCATACTACATGTTGCCTTCCCTCGTGCTGATGCTCCCTGAGTTGCCTCTGTTGCCTAGTGGCAAGGTGAACAGGAAAGGCCTTCCAGAGCCACAGTGGACAGCCCAGGGAGACAAGGAATACTTTCCACCAAGGAATGCTCTGGAGCAACAGATCCAGAAAGTGTGGGAAGATGTGCTGTCTCTGCAGAACATCAGCATTCATGCAGATTTCTTCCACCTTGGCGGAGACTCCCTGAAGGCCGGAATGGTCAGCGCAAAGCTGCGCCAAATATTTGGCGTGCAGGTGCCTGGCCTGCTGGTGTTCAAGTTCAAGACCATCAGCAGTCTTTCGGAGATGGTGAAACAGGTGGCTGGTGACAATCTGGACAACCTTGCGGACCTCACCCGTGAGACCCCGCTGGGGCCAGCTGGCTTCACCGACGAGCAGCTGGAGGCAGGTGTGCCTGTTTCGTTCAACCAGTGCCGGATGGTTGGGCTGCACGAGGCGGACCCACAGAGCACTGCCTACAACATTGGTGTGTGCCTGAGCCTGAAGGGCAAACCCAACTTGGAGGCATTCGAGCGGGGTGCGCAGTATGTGGTGCAGCGACATGAGGTGTTGCGCATGAGGTACAGGCGGGTTGAGGAGGACTGGCAGCAGTACAGGGTGGCCGAGGCAGACGCCCTGTCCCTTGAGTATATGGATCTGATGGAGGCGCCCACGGCACAGGGACTTGACAGCGTTCTTGCGGACAATGCTGTTCGTCCTTTTGACCTGTTTGGAGGACCGTTGGTTCGGGCTTTGGTGATGAAGGTCAAAGAGGACGAGTTTGTGTGGCTGATTTGCACACACCATGTTGCCTTCGACGGCATGTCTGTTATGATCCTTGCCCAGGAGATTGCTGCCACCTACAGTGCATTTGCCAATGGGACGGAGTGTGGCTTGCTACCACTGCCCCTTCAGTACCATGACTATGCTTACTGGCAGCGGCAGTCGCTTATGAGCTCCCCTCCAGATGTTGATTACTGGGTGAGCCAGCTGAAGGACATGCCTGCTCCATTCAGCATGGTCCCAGGGCTGGAGGCAAAGGCGAAAACAGGCAGCGCACCTGCACGGGGCGAAGCAGGGGTTACCATTGCTAAGGATCTCACCACTGGTTTGAACAAGTTGGCACTGGACAATGGAGCCACGGTGTACATGACTCTCCTTGCCGGCTTCAGCTGGATGCTCAGCCGTGCAAGTGGCGAATCGGACATCGTCATTGGGTGCCCTTTCGCAGCGGGAAGGCTGCGCGAGGAGGTTATCCAGCTCGTGGGGTACTTCGTGAATCCGCTGCCCATTCGCATCAAGGTGGACAAAAGCGCCACGTTCAGGGACCTGCTCCTTGCCACCAAGGACGTGGTCCTGTCTGGCTTCCAGCATGGGCAGGTGCCTTTCCACAAGATGCTGCAGGTCACAGGCACGAAATATGATGCTGGTGTCCACCCTCTGTACCAGACGGGGCTGGTGCTGCACGAGGGTGTTCCAGACCAGGGATCCATGGAGATTGATGGGCTAAGTGTCGAGGTGATGACGAACGTGGCCTTCCAGAATCATGCCAAGCTGGACTTGGGGATGGAGCTCTTCGAGGGGGATGCTGGTTTGAGGGGCACTGTGGAGTACAATGCGGACAAGTACGGGCATGAGGACGTCAAGGGCTGGATCGACAGCTTCTTGGCGATTCTCCGAGCAGCGCGAGAGCAGCCTGACACGATTTTGGAGGACTTGGCGGGTTTGATGGGATAGGGGATGGAGATGTGAGGGTGCGAGCGATTGAGTGAATTGATGTGAACGTGCCGGGTTGAAAGGGATTGTGACTTTTGTTTTTGAGGTGCCTAGAGGACGGGACTGCACTCAGCGATGTTCATAATGAAGTCACTTGGTAGCCAATAAGACCCTTGCGGAGTCCGTCGTTTGCATTGCTTCAAGCGTGTGGGGAAGCTACTGGAGTGTCACTTTGCTGAGCTATTTGTAATTCACAGTTGTAGTTTTTGTTGCATAATGTGAGATGATCTTCTCTTTCTGAGGTTGGGCATCACTTGCCACCAAACATGAACATCCTGCTACTCTTGACCGACCACCACTTCATCTTCCCACCACCAGGGATCCCCTCGACTGTCCCAGGCGTTTTTTGGGGGGGGGACTTTGTGTTTTTATGTCGAACTGCCGCGAGATGCAATGGCTCCTAGTCCGGGGCTCACTCCACCGCTCCCCACAGTATATACCCTTTGCCCCATCTCCACAGCAGTGCATTGCTGCCAAGGGCGTTCCTTGCTATATTCCCAGGGTCGAGGCGATCCTTGTGGCGGTTGCTCGCCTCCCATTATCGCAATCACAGCCTTCTATGCGAAAATGCGCACAGAGCCGCTGAAATTCAGCGGCTGAGTAGCAACGCCATCTCTGGATCGTGCTCTTCCAGGTGTTGTCCGACAAGGCTCGGCATGCCCCCATGCTGTGTCGTCATTCTCCAACTCATGGGAATGAAACATGTCCTCAGATGCAAAGACAAAGCCAATCGGTGTTGCGATCAAAAAGTCCAAATCAGAAAAATCAAATTAAAGCAAGACCCTTCGCCATTCTGAAAACGTCAGACAGCGAGCACAGAAAGAAAGCGCTTCATCGAATTGGTGTTCGCACCAGCTTCCCCCGAGATTCTGGCAGCAGATCCTGTCAGCTCATGGAGCCGTGAGTTTGGTCTGCTGGCACTCGATTGCGTGCTTGGCTTCGCTCTTGCCTTTGTTCTTGCTTCTCGCTTACTTGTCTGCAGCTACAAGAAACCAATAATAGAGGTCCGCTGCCATACATTTCAGTTCACTCGTCACTGCACGGTGTGCAAAGTTAGGCTCGTCGGCTGCCAGAGCGATAGGCATCCTCCTTGGGCTTGCTCATGGTGGCAACGCGAGAAGTTTTTATGCCCCTGTTGAACTCCAAGGGCACAAGGATGAACTCCGAGCTTACAAGACGCTGTGAGGTGTACACATCATTTCACTGTGTGTCGACTACGCCCTTTCTTCGTCCATAGCCTTCGCGTGCGGCTCCAAGAGCTCATCCAGTTCTAGCGCAAGTCGTGACTCTGTTTCTTCATCGCCTTCATCCAGTTCCTTGATCTGGGAGTTTTGGCGGCAGGGAAAGCACAAGCCTGACCCAGAACTGGCTGCACACGCACCAACAATATCGTCCATGTGCAATCACATGCAGGCTTTCTGTTTGCGGCGTAAATACTAGCTCGTTTACGTCTGTTTACATGCAAAAATATTTGTAATAGTTGTGCGCGTAACTAGGCGTGAAAGTACGCAAAAAAATGGCCCCTGTGTACATGAAGACTGTACATACAGACTCAAGAGTCCGAAGATTGGCGGCCAGTAGCGCTGGGAAAGCAGAGAACGACCATTCCGTCGACGACGGCGTTGCCCTTGCCTTTCGTTGTCGTTGCCTTTGGGCGAGGTGCCCTTAATGTCTTGCTGCAAGTGTCCCATTCCAAGGCAGCCCTCACAGTACCTGACAAATGTCACGAGAATACGGGCGAAAGAATATTGGAACGGCTGTCAAAGTTCCTTGGCCAACTCGGTTCGAGATCCCGCTCGTCGCAATCGCCGCAATCGAATGCGCACAGCGATGGGCCACAACGCAGCACATGCCAAACCTTTTTGGTTCGACCTCTGTGGCAACGTTGGCGCACGCGGTGCTCAAACGCACTCGCCGTGCATGGCCAACAAGCAGCGAAGGCTCAACTTGTCTTACAACCAAACAGCCACGAACAAGCCTCTGGCTCTTTTTATTTACCAGAATGCGCCTCTGTTTTCGCCCACCAGAACTCACACGTCACACACGCACAACACGCCACCCCACAGCACCGATCCCGAGCTCCAACTCATAGTACAAACTCACGGTCACCAAAATTAGTAAGATTGAAGCTGATTGTTGGCCAGCCGGCCTCCCGCCAGCTCAGTCGGGTCTATGTTTGCACCAGTCGGCCAGAACATGACCAGGTGCTCGCACAACACGGCAGCTGCGGCTGACTTGGGGTGTCATACTTTAATCTCTTTAACCTGGCTCTTTAATCTGTATTCATTTCTCTCGTTGAGTTCCACTGCACATTAGTGTTCAGCCACCGACCTCCACTCATGAGAACTGGCAAGTTGCTGGTGAAACATCGAGAAAAAAGTGGCATCCATTCAAAGATATTGTGGATGTCATTCCTCGAAACGGGATTCTCATATGCCACCATTTAAGCACCGGACTACAAATCAGTATTTGACGGAGGGAGATCAGTGGTCAAAGACTGGTAGTTCGAACAACGACGGAATACGGGCTGCTGCAATAACATCAGGAACCTTGCAAGGCTCCCATGTCGCAGCAAGGTTTAAACCTTTGCAAATTTGCGCAGTTACATCTTATTGCCGTCCAGAACCGCTATTTAGGGCCTAGATTCGTTCCCGGCAGAAATGAAACGAAATGGTTGCAAAACTCGGGCCCTGGATTTCTGATGATAAAACGAAGCACCAGATAACCAAAGATGACAAAGGTCCTGACAAGAATGGAGACAAAGCGTCGGAAGTCCGCCAGCTCACAGCGGATTTGTAGCAGCGGCGTGGCAAGAACTGCCTATTCCTAGGAAATTAGAAACTAGAATCCCATCGCCTTAATCGTCAACTCCCGCCTCCATCATGGCGGTTTCACGGGCCTCGCTATGCTCGGTCCCAGAGTCGGAGCGCGCTATTTCAGACAAGCTGGCCGGCGCTTCACAGTAGGGCGCTTCCTGACTACTGCGCGTGCTGTTAAGAAACGTGGCGATCGATGGCGGGGGCGTGGAGGAGACGACATTGCTGAGTATTTTGCGACATGCCATCCCGGCCTCGAGCAGGTGATCGGGGCCCGTGGACGCACGCACAGGCCCAGTTTTGCTGTGGATTGAAAGCTTGAGAGCGGACTCCGGTAGTACATGTGTGCGCACAGTCTTGCGCACAAGACACGCTGTAGGCAACCACCAGTCCACACGGAAATGGGAGGCTAAGTCAATGGACACTAGTTAATGGTTGCAACGCCAGTCTTCGCCCACAAGTCCAAAAACTCTGTTCGCCATGTCGGTCTTGCTTGTCTTCGTTTCTCCTTTTTCCCAAACGGGTCCAGCGATTTGAGAACCGAACTCCCTGCAAGTGGCAATTGGATCTTATGTGGGCATGTATGCCTGGATTGTGTGACATCCAACCATGCACCAAGGACAAGTTAATACAAGTAAGCGCATCTCCCTGGGGCTGCCGCAAATGCGCTGGAAAAGGCTGATCCTGTGTTGTCTGTGACTGCACAAAATCGAGTGGGACCCCTGCAACCAAACCACGATGGTACTGAGCAGCAGATGTTGGCAACAACCTGCATAGGTTTGGGGCTGTTGTCTGGGCCAACAGTGTTGGCCATTATCAGGGGTGGTACACACAGTCCTTCCCGGGATGAGATCTGAAATGGCCTGCACAATTGAATATTATTGGGAGTTATGCGTTCCTTTGCGGAATATCCAGGCAAACTTAGTAGCAATGAATGCAACGTCCCTCAGTCCTTCAAGAGATTTTCGGACATGAACAGTTGCAAAGTGTTTAGTGGCTTAGTGTTTAATCGCTTTCCTGAATATTGCAGTATGATACCAAGAAACAGCCACCAGGGAATGGATGCCATGCACGCTGTGCATGGTTTCCCTGATTTGTGGTTTCTTTGTGGGGCATACAGTTGTCTCAACAGCGAGCCATAGGCTAAGTGGTTTCGCTGCTCAGGTTGTTGCTCAAGAACTGCTGTCACCCCGCATCGGAGCATTGGATGTTCAGCCAGGGCGGGCCGGCGTGAGCTTCAAGTAATGTGACATCTTGTGATGTGGCTTATTGTTTCAATATTTGAGCCAAGGCCTATGCATTCTAGTTGGGCCCCATCTTCCATGCTCTTTGCTTCTTGTTGATGCGCATGACATTACGAGTCTAAGCACAGCCTGAGCATAGTGAGAAGTCAGACATTATGATTGGATGATTTGAAACGAAATTCTGGGGGATGCCAAGAGAGTTGTTTCACATGCCACTTTGTGAGCAACTTTGGTTAAACAGGGAAGAAGACCCATTGGAAAGAGGGTATCAAAATCAGGCTCATGTGACTTGCAGAAAGGGAATGAAAGAGTGGGATGTGCTTAAGACAGCAAATGGTAGAGACAGACATGTGCTCGCTGCGTAGTTCAGCATGTGCCCAATATTGTTGTTTTGGGTAATGGAATAGCCATGCAAGTGTGCAACACAAGCTTGAAATGTTGAATTACAACTGTTCTCACCGATTTTACTCAATTGCTTGGCCTTAGGCCTGGCAGCTGTCTTGAAGAATTGAACAATGCCCAATTCCAAGGTGCACATGGTTAGGAGCACACACGACTCTGGACCAACCCACAGACATTTGCTGGGATTGAAAGTTTGTATCAAGTAACCTACACATTTGTAGTCCATGATGTTGCTTTGTATCTATTGCCTGCGTTTATCCTTTTGGATATATTTGTACAGATTGTGATGCAACAGTTGTAAGCTTGGACTGCATCAATCAGGCCATCAAGCAGTCAAACTGCTGTCCCTATCTGAAGTCTGTGCATTTTCTGCAGATGTCGCAATGGATGTCCTTATGTACCAATCAACTGCCTGCAAACTTTTGTCCATCAAATGCCTTCTTCGCCCTGTTAGCAGGAATTGAGAACAATAATTACCAACAGCAGTAGCTGGCAAGGCTTGTGTAAGTTTGCTGACACAGCCACTAGCCCCAGCACCACAGGGTTTGTTGGTATCCAACTAGTAGCCTTAAATTTACGTTTTATGGTGATAATGCCACCACCTGTCCCTGCAACTGATGTGGGTCTGTTGCCAAAGTGTCACAGCAATTTGATTACATGTACTGAACGAAGGAGCTCAAAATGGTTTGTTGCTGTATGATGACATGGTTTGTTGCATATTGGAGCCAGCAGGCCGGATATGGGCACACACCCTGCTTGTTCTCTCATCAAAATGTGGTGCATAATCAGCACATTGTTTTCTCATCATCCCGCACACTACTGACCAATACCCATAAATTGGAAGACCTGACACAAAATCCAGAAGACTGCCATTTACCCACCTTGAAAACCTTATTTCTGCTTGCCACTGTTGGACCCCTATTGGAATGAAACATCTTCGTAGAACAAGCATTGCCCTAAAGGTACCAGTGGATGTTGTGCCTGAAAAGAGCAATGCAAAACGGGCCATTGATAATGAATCTATGGTGTCAGCATGCTGTTCATTGTCTTACCTGAATGCTGATGTCAGGGGCAAGAAATGGCGCACGGGGTATGCGGCTTGCTATTGGTCCCGTGCAGCTATAAAAATTTTGGCATTGCTGGCTGATGGGGATCTTCCACCAGATGAGATGGCAGGAGACTCGGTGAGGCAGAGGATGTTTGGACTTGCACATCAATGTTGGTGAACATTGCTGCTGCAGTACAAATTGCCACTCAATGTGTTTGACAAACACAGCAATTTAACACCTTGGGGGCACTTTCCCTTGCTTCCATGTGCAGTCTTCGAAATATCCTGAGAATTTCAGGACAAGGAGACAGCATAGACGTGCAGAGAATAGGTTGCTTTCAGCCTGAGTTTGCTCCAGAAACTGTGCCCAGACAGAATTACCACAAACAAGGATTTCAGCTAGTTGGTGAGCAGCATGCAGTCTGTCTTGGGTCAGCTGAAGTGTCACAGCCACTGATCTGTCGACCTTTGAGAACCAATCACTTTAATTGTAAAGCTCGTCCCTTGGTCCAAGTTTTGTTGATTGTGGATGCCAACCCTGGGTTTGGATGTTGCACTGAGAGCTGTCCTACCCATTGTCACCACAGAATATCTTCATTGTTTCTGTGCTGGCCCACACATTGGATGCATCTATGGTGTACGTTGCTCAACAGGAATGGATTTTGTGCTGGTGTGTCTGACATCAACATTTTTACGTCCCTCTCCTTTTACATCAATATGAATTTGACAGTACGTCGGTGTTGATGGTGCATGTCTCAAGATCTATGAATTCACAAGAAATGCTGCCAACTGGCCTGATCTCCTGAAAAAGGGCCAAACTCTTCATGTGCGCTCCCATGTCTGGGATTGCACGAATTTGAGTAACTCTCAGTTGGTGGAAAGACGTGTGCGGGATGCTGTCTGCGATGTTGTTCGTGATGCAAGGTAGGCATGTCTGCATGATGGGGCAAAAGGTCCTCTTTGACAAGGGTTGTTGGGTCAAGGAAAAGGTCAGCACTACAGTGCACAGCATGTTTCGTCTCTTCAAGAGCATTTTCAACATACCTACGATTTGCCTTCGATCGCTCTGCCCTTGTCCAGTGTCAATGGTTTAATGGGCATTTATTGACGATACATGTGGTGCTCTGCACCTCTGCAAATGTGGCTATTGGTATGTTTGCTGAATGGTGTTTGCTGCTGGAACACAGCCTTTCACAGGACAAGGATCAGGCTGCCTGTGTCTTGCAATGCACATGGAAATCTGGGCTGTGGCTGCCATCTAACATCAACGTTTTTACCCCCTTTCCTGCAACTCCAATCTCCTACTTGTGGTGAAGATGAGCGGAGTGCACATTCACATTTCTTCTGATGGTGTGCTCCTTCGTCAGACAGTGATCGCAATGTTCCACTGCGATTGTGCACTGTGACCTTCAGTGGTGAAGCATGATGCCATCAGATCTCGAATTGAGTTCAGATTTGTTGATATCTGCCTATTGGCAGTGCTTATCTGGCTGTGTCTTTGCAAAGCAGAGGTGAAAGACCAGCGCCTCCATCTGGAATAGATTTTGAAGATTTGCCTCTTCAGGTCACAGTGTACCGCGACCACATACAGTTGTACAGGAACCTCAGTGGTATGTCACTACACAGGCAAGTGGTTTTGGCAGACTTGTTTGCATTGTGGAAATGCTCCATTTGTTTGAGATATCCTCATTTGCTTGATTGCATGAATGAAGGAATGATATCCAATTGCAGGTTAACCAATACAAATGTACCAGCGTCCATTGCACTGTGCTTGCAAACACACAGTAACACCACGTATCACTGCTGATGTGCTTTGTTCACCACTCACTGATGTCCAGATGCTAGGTGTTCCACCACTCCCCTGTCCCCCTCCTTTTCAGCAACCCAAGAGCGCGTGGTTGATTGCATGTATAAATGTGCACCAAGTACCCTGGCACATTGGTTGGGATGGTGAGCTATGTGCGGGGGAATTCTGTCAATGGTTTGCTGGGCTTAGCTGCTGCTTTGTCTTTGTTTTCACCTGTTGGGTGACGTGCAAAATGAGGCGGAATCTCCACATTACTGCAGCGTAGTGGAGGCTTCTCTGTCAAGGGTTAGTGAATGTGTCCAAGCAGTATCGGCAAGGTGCCAGTGCCATGGGCAAGATGTGCTTGTGTCTTCAGGCGTGGATTCAAGAAGATTGTGCATAAGGCAGCTCTTAACGAATCAGCGGCAGCTGGGATTCTGTATTTGGCAGGATGGGACAAACTGGTAGAAGAGACACTGGATTCATCAACAGGTGATGTGAGTGTGGTGCCCAGCGGCGTCAGGAATCATAGAAAAGGTCTGCACTTTGGTGCACCCTTTCTGGCAGGAGTAAGACCTTGATCCATTCTGCAAGCACTATCTTTGGATGCGAGTGCTCTGTACTATGTCACTATTGCGAAGTTCGTACTCCTGCCCTCAATCTGGACAATCCAGACCATGCACAGCCAGAAATACCAGTTCAACTGTGGCAGGCCCTTCGAGCCATGTGTATGGTGATCAGAGGCACAGTTGTACTGATGACATACCACTGCCCACTATCCAACTCATGCACTGTGCAGCGCTGTCTGCCTGTGCCGCACGATGCTGCTGTGCTTGTTATTTTTCTGATGGTAACACTAGGCAAAGAAGGGCCAAATAACACATGTTCAAACGTCTACAAAGTTTACGGGTTTGGGTTGTTTTCGTGTTTTTAGCGTGTAGAACACTGGTGAAATGCATACATATGTGTCAGCAGAACGTGTTATTGGCCCTGTTTTTGCTAGTGTAAAGGGCAGGCTGCCACGAGTTGATTCGATGTAAATTTGTGGCAACCGTCGCTCAGCAGCATCGTGCAATCCCAGTCATTCACTCTCAGCCAACTGAAGATATGGTTCGCTTCCTTTGGCGCAGGTCCAGTGCTGGTGGATCCAATGTGTGGCTCTGGCACCTTCCTTGTGGAAGCAGCCATGATGGCCAGAGCAGTGCCTCCTGGCAGTCTCCGAGAATCCTGGGTGTTTCAGAGATGGCCCGATTATGACCGTGAACAGTTCGACAGTATTCAGTTCGAAGCAGATGAAATCACACGGCAGGCCAAGAGAAAGTGGAAGGGGCAGATCCGAGGGAATGAAATACATCCGGTAAGGGGTCAGGGTCTGATGGCTGGTGGGGCTCTGGAATGCCTAGAAGGCTGTGCGGCCTGTTGAATTTTAAGCATTTGGCCCCTGTCTGTCTGCGATGGCCCAAATTGAATGTTCTGCCCGTGGGTGTTCCTGCAACAATGGCCGAAACATGACTGTGCACGGCCTTGCCGGTGATCAAGGGTGAATGCACTCTGCATTTTGGCTGCCAGGCGACCACGCGAGTCATGCTTTTCAAGTTGAGTTGCTGCTTGTGTTTAGACAGCATTGAGGTTGGCTCATCTGGCAGCCAATCGCAGCAAGCAGAGAGACACAATCAAGTTCCACGAGGGGCCATGCGGATTGTGGATACCAGATAGGAAGCCGGACATTGTGGTTGTGAATCCGCCGTGGGGTGAGAGACTGACGGAGAGGTGGGCTGAAATGACTGGCTAATGCTCTTTACGAGATATTTTGACATCTGTGAGGACCTCGCTGCTAGAAGCTGTGAGGGATTTTTCTCAGCTCATCGATTCATCGACTGAGCTACAAGTGCAGTGACAATTTCATGACCCCAAACGTGTTTCCAACACAGATGGTACCCTTGCCTGAACACATGTGGTGATGGCAGGAGGCACGCATTGGTTAACCTACATTAGAGGAGATGAGAGATGACACGTCTGCAGACCAGCCGTGAACTTATTTAGCAGTGGCCCTGTTGCATTTCCTTTGTATAGCTCTGGTGGCACTGACACCTGTGTTATACCTGGTTTCATGACTTGGTCATCTGTGTTAGTCACTTCAACAGCAGCAAAATTACTTGACCTCTTCTCTGACACTTGATTGCCGTCTTTCCTGATGATTTATTGCTTGCTGCCGCAGTGCCGCCTTGGGTCGTGTTCAGCGAAGCTGTCAAAACTGTTGATTCTTTCCATTTAAGACAGTGCCAGCTGGTTATACTCAATATACGAAGATTGTTTGGTAGACTTGGCATAGTCACTGCATCCATGAGTCGTGCGATACAATACGAACGTGCATGTTTGGTAGCACATGATTTTGGGGACCCTATGCACCTGGCTGCAGGTTTGTGAGACATCTCAAATGCCCACACGCGCACACAAATGTTTGTGACTGATTGGGCCCCAAGCTGAGGCCCGCACAACTGTGAAATTTCTCAAATCAGGTTCGATTTGCCACGGGAAGAACAGCAGCAGTGCCCGGTGGTGTGAATCTCCCATATCTGCACATATCTACCCGCAAGCCATGTGTTGCTTCCTTGATTGTGTCTGGGCTTTCAACTGAGAGCTACCAATGCTGTTGTGCAGTGAGGGATACCGAGTGGAAGGATCATGGGTAGAGTTAGGAAATTTCCTTAGACAGAAATGCCAAGGTGCGTTGTTTGGGTGGCAAAGCAGGTGGGGATACGGGTCCATGCTTTGTTGTGTGGACATAGCTGTGAAAGCCAGAGACACTGTGTGCAACCACAGTTCTTGATTGACAGATCCAATACGGATCCACTGCTCAATTCAAATTGGCGCTCTCCTGGATGTGGTAGCAATGTTCTAAACCTGGAGACTGTTGTTTCAATGGAAGGATGGGTGCCGTCCTTTGGAGGTTTGCAAATCACTACATGGCAGGTTATGCTGTGGGCCGAAAGTCGCACAATGCTGCAGAACGTAACCTAGACTCTCCACATCACCTGAGGGACTTAAGATGCAAGCCATATTGTTGCAGATCAAGCAGGGAGCAGACCTTGTCCCAAGCGTTGGTTCACCCTGCTCCTTTATGGAAACTGTGCCTACTTTGAAGCGCAGTGTCAGAAGCAGCTACGCTTTGTGGACACGCTGCGAAAATAACTCGTTGACACTGCCACTTGCCCTCAGATGCTGCAAAACCACGAGATGGCATCTCATCGCCGTCTTCACACGAGCAAGTTCTGCCAGCATGTTGCCCCCACGGTGCCTCATGGGCAATTGGAACATGCACAGCATGTAGATCTCCCCCACACTCCCCCCGAGAGAATATCTGTGTCCCGGTATCTTCAGCTTCTAACGGCACAATCCATGGATTTCTCTCTCGCGTGTGCCTTGGACTGTGGTTGGCAACTCCGCATATCTTCTTGGATGGATTATCTAACAGGCATCAGTTGGTAACTGAAAACGTTCTGCACGACACGTGCTGCAAAGGCAGAGGACTGTTTCAGCGCGTGCTGCAGAACTTGCACTTCCCGAATTCCCACCTTACCTGTCTCTTTGGCCCTTGTTGTGCGAAGGTGCAACGGCGTATGTGCTGAGCGGAAACAGCGAGAACACGAGACACCTGGGCATGAGGGCTTCAAGGAAATTCCCTCTGGTCATCGGAGGGGTGCAGTGCAGGTTATTAAAATATGACGTGCATGATGACCACGGTGGCCAGTCTTGATGAAACAGGCATCACCGTGCTGATGTACATGCTGCATACATGTAACTGTTGCTGTGGGCGTCCTTAGTTTCGCGACGTTGCTCAGTTGGCGAACTGGCAGTGATGTGTTGTGAAGTGACGAATATGGTCATTGGAGGCTAATCCATCTACAGTTTACTGCAGTTTCTGCGCTTGTAGAATGACGCGACAAAATGGAGAGTGACTGAAGGGTCGCTGGCTTGCATTCCCCTTTTATGCATCAGTGAATGGGGTCATGCGATTGGGAGCCAGCTGTGGGCGTTTCTGGACGGTTTGTGCTCAGGGAGTCTAAATGCCTTGACCCGGCACCCCGTTTCAACTCGTCTGCCTGCATTGACGCGAACGCCGGGGAAACAAAGGTGGTCGTCTCCAGGGCATCTGTCGTGAGTGCGAATCTGTCGCATCTGCCTCCAATTGGGCTACCAATTGGGGGTAGTGCAGCTAATCTTGCCTCAGGCATCAGAAGGAGCCCAGTTCATCCACCAGTGTGTCCATCTATGACAACAACGCTAGCCGTGCAGTGCCCCTGATACTATCGGGTCCACAACCAAGCAAGAAATACGCTCATGGTGATGTATTTCGAGCAAGGATGCTTTTGGGTTGAGAATTGGTGGTTGCCATTGCCCATGTTCTATCTCACAGAGCCATTGCCGGTGATGTGCGCTGTGATTTTGCACTTGGCAAATACACGTGCAGGCCACGCATATGCCGTGAGCCACGCACTTGTTTATTTAGATTCCTGGGCGGCACGCAGTGGAGGCCATGTTTGCAGCATGTGGTTAACGAAACGTCACTGCATCCTCCAACTGTATCGCCACCCCCTTTGCTGTTGACCACCTTGGGGCGATGTCAATAGGGTTGCTATTGATATCCCCGTGAAGGTGAGCCCAGTGGATGTATTTCTCCTTGTAGTGGTCTTTGTGTTCCAAAATCCTGCCTCTCATTGGAGCTCCCAGGGGCTGCATAATTCCTCCGTTATTGCATCGTTGTGTGTTTGACAAGAGATAGCCCTCGTGACTGCAAGCTGGAAACCCTGGGTTGGGTGGCAGTCTGGCATGTGGTCAGAGTATGCGCTAGGCAGATATGCTTCCCGTACAAGCTGCTCATTGGAAATAAGAAACTGCAGGAGCAGAACCAGAAGATGGCCTGTGTTTCCACGGCCAACGCTGGAGCTGGAAGAAATTAAGATACATGCAATGTTGAAAGACAACGAGAATCCGCCTGCATGACTGTGTCACTAGCTTGGAGGTCCCTTTGCTTTTGGTATCTCCACCCTCCCCACACCACACCTAGGCATTCCCAAATTTGTGTACCATCCCTCTGATTTCAATCAACTGTTGTAATTCGCGTCCCTTCCTTGCCACGCATGAAGGCGCAGGCTCATTCTTGCTCAATGAGGCATTGTGACTTGCCATTGACGGTCATGTTGCAATCATTATGCAACGGTTTCAGTTCCTGCGAACCCATGGGCCAGTTGCGTGGATTCCTCCACTCCCATGAACAGAATGCTCCACCTTCAGGGCTAGGCCAGAAGGCACTCTTTCAATAGAATTCTGCTGTGGTCATCTTCCGAATCGGGACGCTGTACGTTGCACGGCTTTCGACATACAATGGTCTCCCAACTATACAAGAAGTATCCCTATTTAGGGATGGACAATTTTTTCAACAGTATGCCTGCGGAGTGCCCTGCCTGTGCGCACAGTCATCCGTGTTGTGCGAGCAAGACACAGCCAGTGCTTTGTCTCTTCCTGTTGAACACTTCATGGCCTAACCTGCTGCACACTTCAGGGCCTAACCTTGTGTCTGTTGTCCCAGAAAGTAGTTCACTCGTGCAACAAGAGTCTGCTCATCCAGGAACCCCTCGACTCTGTCTACCACCTTGCCATTCCGAAAGAGTATGATGGTGGGAAGTGCCTCCACCCGGTGTTTGGAGGCAACGCGTGGATACTTCTCTGTGTCTATTTTGACGACCTTGACCTTGTCCCCCAAGCGCTTGGAAGCCGCCTGCACACACAGAAACCATCATGAGTGCATGCCACTCTGAAGCAGCAATACCTCTCAAACCAGCCCACCTCACAATCAATGTCCAAAGCCCAAGTGCATGCTGCAAACAATTCCGGTTCGCAGCAATCCTACCTCAGCACGATTTCTGCAGCTCCTTGACAGCTACAAACCCATCATCGGCATAACATGCTTCCTGCACTTCAATTCCAATATTGCTCCCATCTGTGCTGTAAACTTTACAGTGTAAAAGACCTTATGGCAACCTCCACGACTGCAATGATCGCATTCCCTTGACAATGGCACAGTGCAGCAGTGCATCAAATGTAATTGCAGATTTGCAGATATGCCCACACTTCAATGCTCAACAGATGCATCACTTAAGCAAACAAAGATGACCCTTCATGGCTCACAAAAATGCTCTACACCTATGTTGCCCATTGCCCACTTCACTGGCTGCGGTATGCGCACATTTCCAGGATAACAATTACGCTGACATCAGTTGCAACCGATCACCAAGCGAACAAGTATTGCAGCTGGAACTAGCCCCAGCATCGTCTTGTAGGCGCAATGGGCAGTCAGTTGGGACAAACCAATCGATGGACTGACGTTGGCAGGCACAGAGGGTAGATGATGTTCGATATGTCACAGTTCTTTCTGAACAGCTCGCTGAGCTCCCTTGGAGAGACACTGTTAGGCTGCTAAGATGCCAGGCCGCTGGCAAAAATAGCCTCATTATTCAAAAGTGTATGGCATTTTGAAGTGTATGATTTGCAACAAGTTGTGACACCAGCACAACACGCATCTGCAATATGACTATCCAGCCTGGAAAGGTGCGAATTTGCAGCAATATTTTTATGCGAAATTCACTGCAGTGGAGATGTCCTTGTGCATGCCTTAAAAGAATTGAGAAGCCCACCGTCACTGGAAGCAAGGTGCTGAAGCACTGTTCACTTGTTGCAGTTCAAAAATGGATTTTGTTTGGGGCTCATCTGAAGGATACTGCTCACAACAGCAGCTTAAGCACCACAATATGGATGCAAACAGAACCATTCGCTGCTTACGAGAATCTGGGCATGGCCTTGTTTTCTGCCGGCATTGACTAATGCATCAAGGAATTCTGCCATGCACATAAATAATCCTCTCTTCCCTCCCGGAAACATTTGCCCACGGAATGATTGTGTTCCACACACCAGCAGCAGACAGTCCAAAACGCCGGAATGGGCAAATCCCAACGATTTCTGCGATGGGAGTTCCGAGCACCATCTGCAGAGGGTGGCACTCACCGAAAGAATTGGGACAATCATCTGGCATGGCCCACACCACTTTGCATAGAAATCTACCAGGAGTGGGGTGCTGGAGCCGCTGATCATGTCGTCGAAGCTTGCGAACTGCTCTTTTTTCGCCGCGCGAACGCACAAGCGAGTCCTGTCCACCAATCGGCGATCCACCACATGCTTCATTGCACATCAATGACACCGCAATGCTGCACTGCCAATCCACAGAGCAGCCACAGCGTCGCGCATTGAAATGTTGAGGTCAAGTCGGTGATGACACTGAACGATAATATGGGGCCCCTTCACTGGAGCCATATTTGCATTCCATCACTTAAGTTGTGGGGATGGGTGGGGCGCACTTTGCGGTGCTCCTTACCCCACGCGGCCATGGCACCTCTGCAAGGGACGACGCAGTTGCCCTACTGCGCCGATCGCCGAACGGTCTCCTAGAAACCGCACGGCGGACATCCGCCCACAAACAGCGGCCCGCGGCTTTGGTCAGGCACCAGCGGTTCCAGCGGACGCAGCTGGGACGCACATTATCGCTGGTCGCCCATCCAGGGTAATGAACAGATTCCCAATCGTATCAATTTACATGGCCCGCCATTCCAATGCATCGAGGTGCGGACACACGACCATAGCTGCATTTTTGCTGTTCTGGGAAGGAGCATCAGTGGACCAGCGAGTCAAGTCGACCAAAGGAACACTGAAAGTTCAACAAGCAAATTTCCTGGCAGGGGTGATGTTTCATGCGGGTTCCCTCAGGGAACCAGGGAACTTCCCTGGTTGGGGGATGGAAGGCTTGTGGTGGCTTGTTTGCCTCGACGTGTTTGTCCCCGGCAACGCCCATGGCAATATCTTTTTTGCAGCAATAGCACCCACGACATTATGGCCAGCAGGGACATGACGCACTTCCGGCACGCCGTGCTGACTGAGTGCGCCTTTTATATTGGGAATCTGCTTGCAACTTGGGGGCCTGCAGAAAGATCAGTCGGCGCACTGGTTTGGGGTTGAAAGCACCCAGACCCGCTGCGTCAACCAATCAGCCCAATGCTTGTATCATCATCTTCAGGAGATTTTAAACGCTTATTTGATGAATTTTCAGCCCACAGATGCGTTGAAACGATCGGCATGAAACTTGCGCCCACAATTTTTGAGCCTGCCACCAAGGTCTTGCGTCCTGCGCTGTTTGCTCAAAGCTGCATGCTGATCAGGCGGTGCAGTTGAATGCACCGGGGGTTTATCGCAACAACGTCCTTGCCAAGTTGAAGAACTTGACAGCTCTTAATACCCCCCAAAGCAGCAATAGGTTGCCACGTGGCAGGTAGCGCCACGTCTGCACACAACGTGGGCAGCTTCCTGAACCTCTTGTGCTGTGGACACGCCTGCAGCGGTGGGCTTACAGAGTGTCGGAGATAAGGCCTCGCGCCGCGCGGGGGCCGCCCTTCGGCCTGGCCTTGATCGCCGGGGGACTTGTGAAAATGTTCGAGGCCCAGGCGGCGTACTACTTGAACAAGTACCTGGGGCAGTACGTCGATGGGGTGGATCCCAAGTCCCTTCGCATATCGGTGTGGCAGGGCAATGTTGTGCTCCGAGACCTGCGCGTGCGTCCTGAGGCCCTCCAGGACCTCAAGCTGCCCGTCACCGTGAAGGCGGGGATGCTGGGAACGCTGACCCTGAAGGTGCAGCCAGGCCGGCGCCTGGCGCCGTCGACGATGTACCACAATGATCTGCTTCTCATGCCTTCGTTTGAATCCGACAGACTGCAGTCACACGGTGTGATGAGCATCGTGTGCAATTGTGCAATCACAAATCGTGCACTGAGGTGTCCAACAGTCCTTTTCGTGGAGAACCAGTCAGTGGAGAACAGAGGAACGGATCGCAAGGAATCCAATCCCCAGATCTTGCCAATCATGGTTTGTTCAGTTACCAGCAGGCACTGGAGGGAGAGATTTTGATCAGTGGAGGGATGAAGCCCAAATTGTGGACAATGAGCAGAGTCCGGAGGGATGTGTACCAGAATTTGTCATACAAAAATTTGTTCACAACTGGTTTGAGGACCAGCAGGGATTGCTGTGCCTATTGTTGGGATGCACAAACTCACCCGATCTTGCCACCTTCCCCTGCTAGGTTCCATGGGCGAATCTTGGAAAGGAACCTGTGGTGGTGGAGGTCGACAACCTGTACATCCTGGCAGCGCCATTCAAGGAAGAAAGGAACTTTGAGTCAGAAGAGGTGCGCTTAGGAGGCTGAAAGCTAGCTTGCACACAATGGAAGAACTCAACGGTGGTCCACAATCAGCTACTGTTGGAAAAAATGCTTGTGTCTAAGCTATGCCTTTATCTTGAAAATGCCTGTTGAGTGTTGTATCTGGCACAGGTGTCGAATTGTGAATTTCCTGTGATTGCATTTGTCGATGTCCACAAGTGTCATGCCCTGGCAACTGCAAGGCGAAGGACAAGCCGCTCACAGCCATAGTGATGGCCTTCATCAGTTCTTGTTGCCCTTCGTCCTTGAAATTTGTTGAGGATGTGTGCCCATTGCAGTGCAGCCCTTGAGGTTTCTGTGTGCTGTATTTTAGGAAGTTCAACAGTTTGCAGAAGAGATGGAGAGGATGGAGAGGGCTGCCAAAAGGAGACGGGTTGAGAGCGCAGAGCTCGATTTCATGGAGGTATCAAACACACTGGGTGGCAAGTGTGATCGTGCTCCTTCCCAGCAGTGCTGATTTCATTGGCTCCACAGCATCCCGTGGAGCAAAGTCTAGACTTTCCAATGATTGTTCTGTTCATCCCATTCCAAATGTGTCCCAAACACACCACACTGAATGGAGGCCAGTTGTCAAGTCCCAGCCTCCTCGAGTACAACAGCCATTTGGTGGACTTACCCTGGTGTGTTTATGGGTGTCTGTTGCATGTTTGTAGCTTTTGATCTTCCAGTGGAGTGTATTCGCTGTGCTCACAAGAAGAAAAGATTTCATGACTCTCTTGTCTTGTTTCCAATGTAGAAATTAAACACAAAGGCACAGAAGAAGGTAGCTGCTACCCCAGCTGATGAAGACAAAGGAGGTTTTCTCCAGTCCTACATCGAGACAATCATAGGCAACTTGGAACTGCGAATCACAAATGTGCATATCCGATATGAGGTACGAGGCCCTGCAGCAACTGCTGCGTATGACTGCTTCCCGTTGGATTGCCGTTTCTGCACAATGGACCTTCTCTTGCAGAAGAAATGCATTTGACAGCCCTTCATTGACAGATTCGGTTGCTGTTGAATCAGATCGTGGTCTCCATATGTTGATGTTATCACTGAGCTTCTCAAATATGCTTGGCAACAGGATGACCAGACAAGTCCTGGTCAGAGCTTTGCTTTCGGCTTCACTTTGGAAGAATTGAGCGCTCACACCATCGATGACCAGGGCAACAAGACATTCGTCACTGCCAAGAATATGATGCAAGTCAGAAAGGTGACCCTATTGCCAGTCATCGAAAAATCAACCCATCTTGCTGACACTGCATTGCTGTGCCCTTCCAGTTTTCTTCAAAACTCTTTGCCCATCATAATCTGCTTTAATGATATGATGTGACACCAAGGGCAGAAAGACTGTGCACATGTGCATTCGTGCCCAAGTAGTCGTAACATTTCGATGCTCAGGTGTTTACAGGCTCACATTGCCCTCATCCTTTATCCTGCGCTGGCGCTGTGTTGGATTTGAGTTTTTATTTGGATTTTGAGTTTTGTTGCATTAAACTTGTTTGCCAGGCTGCTAGTCTCAAGCGCCTGGCGGTGTACTTCGATGTCTCCAACAAGTTGTGGCAAGAACAGAGCGACTGGTTGCAGTTGCCAAGCATGTCTTGGGATTCAGTGTTCCTGCCATTGATTCACAGCGAGATCGAACCAGGTGCCACACAGTCATTCCTCCTCAGACCAGTGGATGGCTCACTGAACTACAGGAGGCGTATGAAGGGGAAAGGGCAGGAGGATGAGCCAAAGCAGGAGATTGGCCTGAGATTGGTTGAGATCGCCATTCACCTATCAAGAGGACAGTATGAGCACGTTCAGAATCTGCTGTCAGTGTTCAACCTGTATGAGGTAGGTGGCTGACTGTTTTTGTCCGCAAGAACGATAGAGGGGCACGGTAGTGGTCCATTTTGGTTTTCAACACTGCTTGAGGTCCAGTTTGCACATGCTCACAGTGTTCAGCTGAATGATGTTTGCTACCCTTCACTGCAACTGCTCTGCCTGCTTGCGACCATGCCAGGATGGAAGGCATGCACTTGAAGATGGTAAAACACGACGAAATTGAGCATTTTTGGGTGCCTATTGTATTGTGCATAAGGAAGTCTTGTTGTGTGGTTGGTAGCCACGAACCACAGATGACTACAAACCATATATGAACTCATACGAATTGAACCATGGCTGAACCAGGGCTGTGTAAGACATGCCCAACAGCAGCTTACCCCTGCTTCAGTGTTGATTCTTCTGTGCTTATTTGCTTGCTGAACTTGCCTTGCTCTCTGCTGTGCGTTCCAACAGCTGAGCACCCCTCATAGACATTTGCGCCCTCCATGTCGACCCAGGAATGCTGCTGGTGCACGCCTCTGGTGGTCGTATGCATACAAAGCTCTCATGCACAGATCACTAGGCAACAAAATGTCACTCCACAAGCTAAAGCAGATCTCTGAGACACGGAGGATGTATGTCAAGCGCTATGTTAAGTGTTTAATGGATGGAAGCGTGGGGGTTGGAGGCGATGACGCTATTTCTGCAATGGATGCTGAGTTGCCAGAATGGACGATACTGGTGTTCAGGTGAGGTAGGTGTGCCTGCCACCTGCTGCTGGTATTCCATCCTCACATGAAGTGCAAGAGCATGGGCTGTGCCCTTGAATGTGTTGCAAGTGTGTTTGCTTGAGCCTTGTCCCATCCCAATAGTTTTGCGGATCAGAATTAGGTGTGCAACTCCTGGTACGGTGTGATTCTAGAGAACCAGCGTCAGCAATGTGGAATGCTCAGCCAGCCTCCAACCTAGTGTAAACACCACCAGCAGTCTCCATGACATTGTACCGCGTCACCATTGTGCTTGAGTCCCTTAATTTCATAGTTGTAGGTTCAGGCAGCCTTAAGAATTTGTTACACCGCACCAGCCCCACCCTTTGCTGCATTGCAGGTTTGGAATTCCTGCCTTGTCACATATTATTTGCAATTATTCACAAGCACTGTTCGCACTGGCGCAATCCTTACAGTGCATCATGCTGTTCCATGAACAGTGCATGCTCATGGCTACATTCGCTGCACAGTGTGAACAATGTTGTGAAGAGCACAATCCCATACCAAATGTGCATTGTTGGGATGCTGTTTTGGCCGCCATCATCTACTGAGGTACAAGGGATTGTTCTGTCCTGAGTTTTCTTTACTTACATGGTAAATGGATTCTACAATCGATAGCAAGGAGTCAATGTATGTAAAAGCCATGTATGTGTCTCACAGTGGGCACTCGTTTTTGAGCAATGTGTGAAAATTCGTTTCCATGCATTGAAAGAAGATGCACAATGCTTCAGGTGCAAAGGGTAGACACACAACTCAAAGGAGCACTGGCACAATGGTACATGCAATGAGGAGGTCCTGTGCAAACAGAGATGAGAATCTGAAATCTGTATCAGATTCCAGCTTTTGCAGGCAAGACTGTCTGTAGTTATCTGGTGCTGAGTTTGGAGATGTGTTGCAGGCAGATGGCCCATGTCCAGGTTGATAATGCAAAGAGGAAAGCATTGGCAGAAGAAGCCTCAAGAAAGGCTGCAAGGGCCAAAACGACGAGGTGGTGGGGGTGGGGGCCCACCAAGGTTGATGAGCAGTTACAGGAACAAGGAAATGGTCCAGCAGAAATTGAGCTTTCAGTAGCACCTGAGGAATGGAAGAAGTTGCATGATCTAATGGCTGTGGAGGCAAGTGGTGTTGTGCGTTTTTTGTCTTGTGAATGGTACTCCAACATGGACCAGTGCCAACTTGTTGTACACTCCAGTACCAAATCACAGATCTCCTGCATTGCATTGTGTGTGGCAATTTGAGGCAAAACAACAGGTCCATTCTGAGCAATTCACGAAGTGCAGACAAGTGGAAAGATGTTCCGTGGCCATTTTGGCACCTGCTGTTTTGCGCATACATTTCGTAGTTGCGCACATCTGCTCTCAGATTTGTGTGCCTTTATGTGCCTATTGAGGTGTGCTGATCTGGGAGTTTTTTTGGACACATGTTCTGCAGGTTGAAGAGGAGTCTGGCGGCTCTGCCAATGCATTGGAAACTCTGCTCACTGTGTGTGTCAACTCTTCAGCCATGTGCCTGACAGATGAGAAGGGCCAGATGATTTTGGAAGGGGTGCTCAAGGGCACTACAGTCGTTTCCAAGACATACGGACAGAAGAGCAGCTTGGAGCTGGCAGTAATGTCGGTGAGCTCATTTGATCCAACCATGGAGATTCAGCTGAGTAGAATGCTGATGTGCTTCTCATCGCCTTTGGATTGCAAGAGCATTGCCATGAGCTTGCCGAATTTTGATCAAGAGAATTAAATAGCAGTCCACTTTCCATGAGGTCCATTGCATTGTTGCTGCATGTTGGGCTTGCAGAACAGCAATAGCTCAAGCAACACTTGGGCTTGAGGGCCAATTGAAATAGGGAGATGGTTTGCCCAAAGTTGTTTGGTGTCATTGCTGATTCCTGCTTGTTCTGTTTTCTTGTTTGTTGCAGACTGCATTACTGTGTGGCGAAGGTGCGCTGTTGAGCTCTGGAACCAACCAAACCATCTCAACAGGGCATGATGGTGGAAATGTCGAATCGCTTGAGCAGGCTGTGAAATTGTGCTACACCAGCACGCCGCAGGATAGGGGCACAAATGCTTCATTGATGATCCAATTGAGTAGTGGCTATGTGACCTACCACGATGCAGCCATCAAGGAAGTGCTGAAATTTTTCAGGCCAGTGGAATCGGTTGACTTGTCCGTACTCCAGGCTCAAGCAACTGCTGGAATGAAGAAGGCAACACAACTCGCAGGAGAGCAGATTGCTGTTGCCTTGAGTGAGACTCCAGTGTTTCAGATCGAGCTGCATATGGATGCACCCAAGATTGCTA